TCCTTATTTCAAATCAGCTGCAGGTTATTTTGTTAAGAAGTACTGTAAGAGAACATTTAAGTCTTGGAGAAACTTGTGACAGCAATGCTTGTGTGTCTTCTGGCATATACTGTATGAAAAATATACTGGGCTTACAATGTTTGTTTAGCAGTTTTTGGAATGTGACAAAAGGTGCTAAGTTCAGTCTATATAAGAAAGCATACCTGTAGTGTAACTGGTATATCTGTTGGTTCAACAGCGAAAGTGGGAAGGGCGTAGGTTACCATATAACAGATTTGTCTGTATAACTGATGCATTTTTGGGAACTCATATGTATGTTTTTAATGTATTTGGTTTCATGCAGTGTTGTCTTAAATTTAAGTGAAGCACTCAATAAAATGTTACTTAAATATTATGATTTTTTTTTTTTTTTTTTGTGGAAGGAATTCAGTGATCAGTTTATTTACTACTTACCCTGAGGTATTTTATTGGTTTTTATTAGCGTGTTTTTTCTGCTTTGTGATTTGCTCTCAAGATGATAGTACCATTTACAAAACTAATCTACTTGGTAAATACTGAAGCTAATGCTCAAGCTTATGTTTATCCCTTGAATGCATTGTAACTTATCTTTTCTCTTACTGCAGTCTCAGTTTTTAAAGTTACAGCTAGCAAGCAGCTTGTGATGGGTCTGAGTGCAGACACAAAAGTTCTGGAAGCAGTGGATACTTAATTTGAAAATGTGGTAGGCTGTTTCTTCTGGAAGCACTTCCTGCTTTCAAAAAGCAGTTACAGGTTTTGAAGCTTTACAAATTTGAAAGACGTGAGTATTGCTTTTGTAAATGCATTGTGTCTGCACCCAGGTGCTGGTAAGGGGGCTGCAGTGGCATCTGTGAGGAAAGGCCAGGGCTGTCCTATGCTGGATATGCTGCAGGGCACAGCTGAGCCCAGCAGTGAAAATGGTGGCATCTGTGGAAAAATGTATTTAAGAAAGGGTAAAAAAGGCTTCACAGCAGCTGTGAGAGAAACAGCTCTGCAGACACCAGGACCAGTGCAGAAGGAGAGGAAGAGGTGCTCCAGGCATCAGAGCAGAGGTTCCCCTGCAGTCCCTGTTATAGACCATAGTGAGCCAGGCTGTGTCCCTGGAGCCCATGGAGTTCCATGATGGAGCAGATATGCACACTGCAGCCCATGGAGGACCCCACGCCAGAGCAGGTGGATATATCCTGAAGGAAGCTGCAGCCCATGGAGAGTCCATGGCAGAGCAGGCTCCTGGCAGGACCTATAGCTCATGGAGAAGAGCCCCCCACTGGAACAGGTTTTCTGGCAGGACTTGTGCTGCATGATGAGGACCCACGCTGGAACAGTTCTTGAAGGACTGTCTCCTGTGTAGGGACCCCAAGCTGGTGCACGGGAACAGCATGAGGAGGAAGGAACATCAGAGAGGCGCTGTTATGGACTGACTGACTACAACCTCCCATTGAAGAAGGGGATGGGGTAGGGGAGTGGGAAATGAAGGAGTGAAGTTGAGCCAGGGAAGAAGGGGCTTTGTCTTTGTTTCTCACTATTTTACCCTATTTTAATTGGCAATAAATCTTATCCAAGTCTAATCTGTTTTGTCTGTAACTGTAATTGGTAAGTGTTCTCTCTGTCTTGATCTTGACCATGAGCTCTTTCATCTTATTTTCTTCTCTTTTTGAAGAGAGGGTACTCACCTTACTGGATCTCCAGTGAGAAGGAGGAGTGAGAGAGTGTCTGGGTGGGCACCTCACTGAAGATATGGATTAAACAAAAGGGGGGGAAGTGCAAAAGACATTTCTCATAATTGAGCTTAGTTTTTGAAACTGAAACTTCTCTGCTGTTTCAGTTTCAGAATGAAGACTGGAATTAAAAAATACGGGCAATAGTTTCTTAGACAGGATGCTGTTCCAAACTGGCTGTTTCAATTAGTACATTAACCTGTAAGTTGTTTGTTGTATTGTGGAAAAAAGGTATTTGGGTGTGCAGGTAGGATATTTTTAAAATGAAGATTCTAAATGTATTGCAAGTCCTCATCTCTGGCAACTCATGGCGGGCATGGTTATGGTTCAGGCTTTCGAAATCTAAGATCTTTCTATGGTTATAGATAGGTAAAAAGACCTTGTATTGTGCAAAACCTCATATTGTGCAAATTAATGTCTTACTAGCAGAGCGTGTCTTTTTGACTGTTAGGGTTCTTTTGGACAAGCATTCACACAAAGCAGCTAATAATGCCTTGCATAAATACTAAATAATCTGTCCTGGAGTTTCCAGCTTGCCTTCTCTGATACCATTTTGCTGCATGAGCTGAAACAGCACGAGGTTGAAAGCTTTTCCAGTGATGATAGACTTTCTTTGGTTTACAACTGCTTTAAGAGATCACTACTGCCTTAGTGCTGCTGCTGGGTTTCTCACGTCCTTTGTCCTCATGTTGCCTGTTTGCTAGTTCCTGCTCCTGATGTCTTACTTCTCGGCACCTTCAGAACCCAGCCTGTTACAGCTAAGGTGTTTGCTCAGTGAGCTACATGCTGTGCTCAGGTAATAGTTGAGTACAAAAACCAAAAGGGGAAATCTGAAATAAATGAGAGAACGAGGACTGTGTTATACTTTTGTGATGAAGTTATGATGTGTGAGAAGAATACAGTTTTAAACTCGTTTGACATGTGATGTTGTATATGTGTTTACGGGTAAGCTATGGAAAACTTAAAAGCTGAGAATCCTATTAGCTCTGAAGTCAGATTTGGTTTTTTTCAGGCTTGCCTGCACACCCGGTCCCCTCTGTAGTCCTTGTGCTCTGTTGTGAAGCCCATTGGTATGAACTGTTAGAGCCTTTCTAACCTTTTGTTGTTCCAGCATGTCTTTCAGTGTTTGGTATTATGAAGATTTTGGTATGTGGAAAATAGTGACAGTTTGGCCTTCTACTGCTCCTGAGGTTACCAAAGCATTGTGTTAGTAACTAACTATGCTTTTTTTACTTTTTGGTGATGACAGTAATATGCTGTGCTTAGGTGCATTGCTTCTATTTGCCATGAAGCCTGTGTGTTGGCACTAAAAATTCTAGGGTTGTTTACCTTGTTATTTCTCACTGGAGAGCCAGTAAGATACAGAACATAAGTCTCTTTTCTTTGGTACTTTATGCATTCTGATGCATCAAATGTACTGGCCTTCTTTCTAATGGTGCTCTTGAAGTCTTACCTTAACACACTCCATTTCTAGTTTTCCTATTTCTTCCCTAGATTTAGTAGCATAGTGTGAATGAGGAAAATTTGCCTATTGCTTCACACTGAGTATACTCCTCTAAGATCAGTGGTTTGGAAAGGGATTTTAGGGTATCTAGTGGTAGTGCTTGAACTGTCAAGATTATGTTGTAGCCAGACATGCTTGTGTATTTATCTTAAATGCCTCTGTCTATATCATATCACAACCACTGCATTCATTACTCACTGCTAAAATCCTTTACCTTTGGATTAAGCAAGTCTGCTTGGACTGGAGCCTGCATTTACGTTTTTCAATTGATCTCAGACCAAGTCTTCATTGTACAGGTGATAGGTCGGTCAACTGTTGACTTAGTGGTTTTAAAATACTGCCTAGTTATAACCCTGCTGTAAATATCCATGATTCAGAAGATGCAATTATTTCTGTGGTTGTTCATATTCTTTGGTATCTTTACCAGCTCTTTGATTTTTTTAAAATGTAATAAGCTCTGATGGGAGTAATGACTTTATGAGAAATGGGTTTAAGAAATGAAAGGGTCTTCACATCAAAGTGTTTAAAATATGCTGATGACTATCTTTAAAGTAGGCTGCACATTATTTTTAGAGGATTATTTTTTTTTTTACTGCAGTGTATTCCTGACATTGAAGCAAATGTAGCAAAATAATTATGAACAGATATTTAACTTACCCTGAAATTTTGCCTGTCTAGTAGCCAACTGTCTTCTTAATTTTGGAGTTTTAAACCACTGTTGACAAATAGAAAACAGTATCTGTTACTGTTACAGACCAGACAAAAATACAAGCTTTCTTGGGATTTCTTGGCATTCTTTATTGCAGTAGTAAGCTGATACTATGCTTTTGCTGAAATCTTTATTGGAATTAGACTCAGGCAATGATGCCAAATGGCGGACAGTGGGAGTGGGAAAGCAAATGTATGACATAATTAAATGGGGCAAGGGAGAATAGGCAAATATATTTTATTTTCAGACTGCAGGGGTTACTGAAAGAACTGAAATGTCCTTGTCATGAGTTCATAAATTGTGCATCTCAAAAATTATAATTCAGAAAAGGTACTGGAATTGTTTGAAGTTTGAATGTCTTTCTGTAACTTCAGTAACTGTGCAGCTTGAGCATTTCCTTAGATCAACAGATACCACTTCGGGTGGGAGAAACCAAGAGATAAAATGCTTTCTTTTGCAGAGCTGGCATAAGATGTAATGAGTGTCTAAATGTTAATTTTAAGTGTGTTTACTCAGGAAGTAGTTTCATAGGGTTTGTATTTTATCGTAGGGTTTTTGTTTGTTTGTGGATTCTTTTTTTTAATTGTTGCATTAAGCTTTGAGAATTTTTAGCTCTCTTCAGTTACACACTAGTGTCTCTTGCTAGAGAGACAGAGGTTAAATCAGAGATTTTAACCTTACAGTAGTGCTTTTCATGAAGGATCTGTAAAGCAAATATGATGACTTCCAGCTTAATTGTATGATTAGTTGAAGGGAGGTGTAATTTGTACAAGAATCTTACTGTACTGAATAACTTCGTTTTTCTTTAACAGAATTCCTGTAAAACCTAATAAATATTGCTGGTGGTGTGCATCCTGGAGATAAGTTTTTACTACAGATACTGTCAAGGTTTTATGAATGGGATGAACACACTGCTGTTGGCTGCTTACTGACAGTAATCAGCTGGGCACTTCACTGGTGATGTTTTCATCCTCACATTGTCCAACTGGAGTTTGCTTATACTGATTTTTAAAAGGAAGAAGAAATCAAGGTGGAGTACCGTAAACTTGACATGGATAATAAAAAGAAAGACAAGGACAAGCCAGATGAAAGAATGGCACGGCCTACTGGGAGGTCAGGCCACAATCCACGTGGAACTGGTTCTTCAAATTCTGGAGTGTTAATGGTTGGCCCAAACTTCAGAGTTGGTAAAAAAATTGGATGTGGTAATTTTGGAGAACTACGGTTAGGTAAGGTTCTTGTTTCTTTATTTCAGTTTACATTATTTGAGACCATTATATGCAGTCCAGGCATGAAAATGTCTACATGAACACACCATAGAGCTCTTCAAACTGCTTTCAGGCTTCAGATAGGTTAAATTTGCCTTGTAGATCTTTTGTGGCTTGACCAGAACAAGTTCTATCGCTTATTAAGAATCTCTGTAGCGGTAGAATTCCTGGGACTAAAAATCTTCCATAAATGTGTGCTATGCTATTCTAAATTCAGTCTTTTTCAAGATGCTGGAAATTACTTAGTGGTTATTGTATTTTGGTACCTCTCCTGGCTTCCTGAAGCAATTTGTTCAGGTGTAGTTGGGGTTAGGTGTATGTGAAACACATCTTCCTCCTGTAGGTCTTGTTTATAGAACTGTGGTTTTGGAGATCTCGTGTAGGCGGTGCTGCAGTGTTTTTAATAGCAGGAAGCATGTGGATTTCTTGATTTCCTTTCCATCAGCAGCAGTATAGTGAGGCTGAAGAGTGAACTGGTGTTGCACAGGGGTTCTGAGAATCCATCTGTAGAGAGAATCTGGGAGATACGTAATTCAGGCACTTAGTTCCCTGCTGATTTTCAGGCAGCTGAAAATCAAATGGCAAAGAAGAGACAGACTGAGAAGGACCTGTGGAATGTTTTAAGAATTTGGGCAGCGAAGCTGGAAATTTTACCATTTACTAAAATAGAGATTACATGATGGCTGTGTGCTTTTGGAAGAGTATATATTTAGTCTGGGGAGGTTAAATTTCCATATGATAGTATGGTTAGCCAGGATTTTAAAGATCTGGGATTCTGGATGCGTTAGAAAATGTAATTTGACACTTAATGGCAAGAATTTGTTTCATTATTCCTGGAAGTCTTGGGTTAATGCACTGCTTCAAGGTTTAAAGAGAGATGGGTTAGAAAGTAGGTTGGTGGGCTACGTAGCTGTTGTGTTTCTGTTGATCTACCTCTGGTAGAACTACTACTCATTGTCCTTCAGGCAATGTTTTTAATATAGTGCTTGCATAAAATATAACAAGTTTTTAGTATAGTGCTTTCTGGGGGCCTTACGAAGTCTGAGTCAGAATGTAAACAAGTTTAGCTTATTAATACTGTAGAGGAAGGAAAGATAACATTGCTGGAGCTCTGCCTGAGGATGCTGAATTTAACACGGTCTCAATAAGAGGTACCCTTGTTATTCCTAAACAAGATGGGTATATTTTGACCTTTACAGTGTTATGTGCCACTGTGGGTCACAAGTCAACCTGAAAATGTCTTCAGCTTTCCCTAAACTTTTCTAAACTGGCTTTGAATGATAATTTTTCTTTTAAACCACTCCATGGACTAAATCAACCAGTATAATTAAAGTCATGTTTACTACTGAAGGCAACTGTAAATTAATGAAGTTAAATTTTTTCCTGTCTGTTATCTTGGTCACAGTGTACAGAGGAGTTTATCTGTTTCAGATCAATATCAGATTAGCTCATTTGCTTGCAGCAGATACAGTGGAATGATGAATTTCATTCTAAATACAGAATTAAAGTAGTTAAGACTTAAAGTCTGATAGTACTGAAATAAAATAGGACAAAGAAGTAAAAGAAATAGGAGGAAAATAATAGTGTAGTGTACTGTCCTGCATCAGCTACCAGGACAAGTGCAGTCTTTCTTTTTTAATGTCTGCTTGATTTGCATATATGGTACATATTTCAAATATGTACTGTTATTTCTGGGATAAGATATTTTAAATGTGAGTTTATGAAAGCAGGATTTAAAATTGGTATTACAGAGCCTGATTTAAATTTATTTTTGCATTTACATTACTACAGTAGCAAGTAACTTAAAGTGGGCATCCTTCCTACAAAGATGTACACAAGCACTTGGTTTGTTTTATGTACTCCTGCAAACAGGAATATGTTTTGAGCATGGATCTCAGGGTTGAACCTTAAGAACTTAAAGGAGGAATAAAGTTGTTAAAGTGGTGAAGTTGTGCTTCAAACAAAGCATGCTTTTTGTCAAAAACGTGACTCTGATGACCATAAGAAATAACTAAAGATGTCTGGATTTCCACTTGAGTCCCTGGATAGGTCTTGGAATTATCCATGCTTTCAATGGTTAGATTAGGGCATGCTGCCTATACTGGTACTATGTTTATTGTTGTAGAGCCTTCAGATAACTTTCTTGTTGCAAAGTTGATCCCTTAACAGACATGTGATTTTAATGCATTTTTTTTTTCAGCTTTGCAAAAGTACTTCATCAGTATTACAGCCAAGACCATAGTCTTTGACTATAAATATAACTGTCTTCACAGGGAACCTTTTTGTCTTGGTCTGTATCTTTTCCCTGTTTTCTTTAAGAAAACTGAGCTAAACATGGGATACTCAGGTCTGAATAACAGTACAGAGAAAAGAGAAGGGTTGTCAGTTAAAAATAATACACATGAAACTAATTTGAAGACTGTAGATAATCGAAAAGTGTTAGAAGTGACAACTTTTTTTTCTTTCCCTGCTTTTTGTTAATTCTGCACCTGTAAAGCTTGTTTGGTACTTAGTCATTGCATACGATTTGAAGTAATGCTTGTTGAAATATGCTTATCCAGTTAGAATCACTTTTAAAGCAGAAGGTGCATTTTCCAAATAGTATAAGCATTTAACTTTTAATATCGTTGTCCTGTTTTCCTAACTTTAAGCTTAGTAAATAACAGAATTGAGGGAAAAGAATAATCCTAGATACTCTAAATTTAATTAGTGTCTGGTGTTCCAAAACCATATGATAATTTAAAAATAAATATTAAACAGTTTTCAGCAATAAATATGGAAGTACAGAATATCACATTCTACTTATAGTAGTTTAGTAATTTTCAACTTTTCTAGTGTATAAAAATTCTGCAGACTTGATGAAATAGCTGAAATTGCCACTTTTTACACTATTCAAGAATAAAGTTCTCTTCAAAGTATGGTATCTGGCTAATAAAGCCATATTTTTTTTAAATCACTACCAGGACACCTAGCATCTTGTATCAATGTTTCAAAGACTTTCTCAAGGTTTAAATGTCATTTTACTTGAAAAGGAAAGCCAGCGTCTCACATTTTTGTTTTTGTTCTTTTTTCCAAGGAAAAAATCTATACACGAATGAATATGTGGCAATTAAACTGGTAAGTCAATTTTTATTTTTTTTAAGTATTTGGGATAAGAAACTTACCATAATTTTCCTTTCATATATAGTGTTTTGATTTCCTCAGTTGAAATCCTTAATAGTTGTTATGTTTTCAGTTGACTAGATAAAAGCAGTTAGTGATAGAAATTACATTCTTCGTCCACATGGAATAAAACCAGTGTTAATTGTTGTCACTGTTCTCACAGCTAAGTATTTGTGAAGTTGATGATTGACTGCTGCTTCAAGGATAAGCTCAGCAGGTGTCTTAGCAGATTTCTTTTCTATGCAACAAGTAGAGTAACACTAAATATCATGTGAATCTGACATCAGGTGACTACAGAGAAGCTCCATAAATTCTGCAGACTGCCTCCTATTTTAACACCCTTATTCCTGCCCCAAAATATTTTTAATATTTAATCATTGGAATTGTACATCTGTTTTAGTAGACATATTTTACTTGCAATGATGTGTTAAATGCTTCCTTCACTTACAAGCATGGTAAATATGGATACTTTGTTGATATGTTATTGTTCTTTTTCTGAATCTTTCAGCCAGACTACTCGGTTTACTTCATGTTTTGCTTCTGGATACTTTTTAACTTCTTGGAAAATGACTTTTTTTTTTTTTTGTAACCAATATATTTCAAGATGAAATTCAGTTGTTTACTTTTTGTTATTGAATTAATTTTAGGACTCCCATGAATTCCTTTTGCTGCAGTAGAACATAAAGTTTTGATAGCATAGCATGATGAATTTCTGGTTCCATAAAGTGAAAGGTAAACTATGGAAACAGAAATATATGGCTTTAGGTGGGGAATCTAAAAAGTGTTACAAATACATACCACAAACTCCTGAAAAATAATTGTGAATATTTATCTAAGCAAGTATAGCAATAGAAATATTTATTTCAAGAGTAGTTAACAGATTTCAAAGCATTCAAGCTTACGGTTCGAAGGAGAAACAGTGGAGGCAGTTTTGAGGATTAATGTTTGTGTATTACACCAGATATAAATTAATTTTGGTTTAAAATATCTTGAACTTATTCTGTATGTGTGGTAAAACTTGAAAATGGTCTGAGAATGCTTCTAGTTAAAGACTGTTTACTATAAAGCACATTCAGGAATAGTTTGCAAGGTAGTGATTTTTATTTAAGCACTAATTACCTCATGATGAGGAGCAAGAGAATTTTTTAATCTGATCAGTGGGTTTTGGCAAAACCATTTCATTATGTATGTAGCTATTAATAAACTCAGCTACTATTTCAGCCCGTTTCAACTTTCAAAGATACTGTTCAACTTTTACTTGGTTTCCAAATGACTCAATCTTAGAACTGCGGAAAAAACTTGATGCATCATTATTGAATAACTTACTTCGAAGACACTAAAGAACCAGTGTAGTAAAGTATGTCTGCAATTTATTACTAGTGCTTGAACTCTGAATATGTAGTTAATTTTTTGAGTTATCCTCTTACCTTAGTGGTATGAAAAGCTGTAGTATCTTTGCAATAAACAACAGATGGAAGGGATCATAGTGAAAATCAACACTGGAGCTTGCATCGCCACTGTAAGGTAAAAATACATTTATTAGCAGGTAGAGCTAGCAGGTTCTTTTAATATAGTTCTCCCCTTTTTATCCCTCCCCTCCCACCTTATATCTTTCATCTCTACGAGATTCAGTCTTTTAAAGACAGCTGCATCAAATTGTAGGATTTAGTTGAGTTTTGCTTTTTTTGCTGTTTTTTTTTTTTTCTTTTTTTCCCTCCTATTGGAGACAGTGCCAGGACTTTTTTCTAACAGCTAGGTAGATTGCACTCTTGTGGTGTACAGTCCTCTCCCTTTTAAAATGTAATCCTAACAATTTTTTTCCCCTGTCTCTGGGCTTATTCCCTTTGTGCTTTGAGAGCAGTTATTAGGCCTATGTTCAGTCTTTGTTACTCTAAATGAGTCACTCTTAATTTCCTCTGTTTTGTACCTGTATAGGTCAGGTTTAGCCCTCTTGAAAGGGGTTACTTGAATTATGCATGTGTTCTACTTTGAGCAGTTACCCTTGGCATGTATGGCTGTGGTAGTATTTCCTCTGCAGCATCCTAAAATTATATTCATCATGGTAGCATTCCATTGCTGACTTACTGTCTTCTTGTGAGCATCAAGACATTTCCTATGCCAGATGTTTTGTGTATAAATGGTGGCCATGTACTCTAGTGCAGGAGGATTGTATGGGTTTCTCTCAAAAGCATGAGTTATAATGACTGCATTTATACAGCTTGCATGAGTGCTTCTGATGTTAAATATAAATAGATTTTATAACTACTCTTTTGACTTGAACTTTTCATTGTGTTGAATTACTGTTTTCCCTAGGGACAAAATTACGCGTGTGTTCCTGTTTATGATGCTTATGGCAACTTCAGGACTTACTGGTTTAAGGAAATAGTTTAAACAGGTTTTTCTTGTGAGGCCTGAGGGTCATACAATGTACGCATTTTAAAAGTTTCATTTACTATATGCATATATTTATTCTGGTAAAATGGCTACAGTTCCAGAATCTTACTCTTAATTTGGCTTCTTTCATTGTGGTCTGTTCTGGTTGGGCAGATACTCAAGTTTGAAAGGTTAGAACAGACTTTTTAAAGAACTGGAATGAGACCCTTAAGACCTGGGCTTTGTCAGTTGTGCACTGTCTAGTGGTGTTTGTATGTTTCTGCTGGTCTATTAATATACAAATTGGTTTCTTGTGATCGGGTAGTTCTTCAGCAATAAGGATTTGATACACGTGAATTATACCTTTCCTCCTCTCCTCTTCATTTATTTTAAATTTACTTCCTTTATTACATGACCCTCTGCTTCACTTAAACCTCCTATTCCTTATTCAGGTGGTCCCTCTCCCTCATTCTTTTTTCTTTTCCCTTTGACAAATTTCTTCATTGCCCAAACTTATCTCCTCTGCAGGATGCTTAACCACTATCAAAATACCAACTAAAGAAATTTCTGCTCAAGCTGCTTCTGGAAATAGATCTATTTTTCTTTCTGTCTTAATGTGAAAGACATTATGTGAAAGACGTAATGTGAAATCAAGTATGAGGTACTGGTCATTAATCTGTAATCTTTAATTCATTGATTCATTAATTATACAACTGTTAAAATTTTAATCCTTAAAATTGTAAGTGGGGGGTGTGTGGAAAGACGATTGTGGTTGGTTCCAAGGCTGGAATGCTTTTGTGGGGTTTTTTTTGTTTTGTTTTGATTTTATTTTTTTTTTAAATCCTTTTTTGTTTTTACAAAATCATTGCAGTCTAGAATGATGCCATTTCAGAGCCTCTTTTGCAGGCTGTAGTAAATCCAAATCAAGTGTGGCTCTGTTCATTAAACTGATCTTTTCCTGTAGCAAGAGCTCTGTCTCTTATTTTTTCCTGGAAATAGCTTTTGTTTCCTGTTGCTTAAGAAAGTATGAACTAGAAAGAGAAGATTCACCGAGTTCTTATTGGGTTACTAATAACAATAAAAGTAGGTAATAACTGTGTGTTTATGTTGTGCTTTGGGTTAACATCAGAGCTCTTGAAAATACCTAACATTATGGTAGAGCAAGTAAGCTGCCTGTTTTCTCAAAGCCGTTTAGCAGGGAAGTGACATATCCTGAAAATTGTATAGTGGTTTGTTCTGCACAAAAATAACTGCAGAAAACTGCCACACATTATGAACTTGAAACAGATTTCACATTTCAGGTGTCTTTGCCCTTTTATTTGAATGCATCCCACAAAAGAAAAAGGAGGGAAAACACTGGGTTCGAAAGAATCTTTCTCAGGAACTGAGGAGCTCTTGTTTCTGCTGCTCAAGTAATTGGTGCTTAATAAATCACATATTAATTCTTCAATGGCAGCAAAACCCTCAGTCCTTCATTAAGAGAGAAAAATGCTCTTTTGCAAGCACAAGAAGCTATTTTTTTTTTCATACAGGAACTTTGAAATAATTAGACTTGAATGTAAAAGTAGCATAGTCGAGGTTGCATACTGAACATTGCAGAAATCCTGGAACAGTTCTTTCTGGTTATTTCAGTAAGAAGACTTGAGGTTTTTTGAAGTAAACACAATACATTAATTTATTTTGGTATGAGGGAAAGTTGGCTTCAGAGTCCTCTGGGATCAACAGTATGGTAGAGCAGTTACATGTTTTCAAGCATATTTTTAGATACTGAAATACTAATAAAGAGGAAAGATCCATTATTTGCCATTATTCTAGTTCTTAAATACATTTTTTAGACTTACTCATAAAATTGTAGTTATGGTGGTGTATTCTTCACTCTTACAGTGGAACATTACATTTAACTTACCTTTGTCTTGATTTATCCTTATCTATCTGTCTTTTTCTCATTTATATGTAGTTTACTGCATACTGCAAAGTAGGATGTACAGGAACAAAACAAGTTGTATGTGAAGAGCTTATTGTGCTTGCCCCCTCACAAGTTGTGTTGAACATAAGGTTGTATTTCCTTTGTGTATTTGGAGTTACTCAACGGTAAGGAAGATACCTAAGCTTCCTTACAAAAATAATTACCTTATTTTTGTATTTTCCAAAAGTCTGTTAGCCAATAAGTGGGCTACAAGTACACATTACCACATTTTTTTCACCATTACTGGAGGGAGTAAAAGTATTGTCTCTCTGCTAGGCAGGGTTTAACTTCAGTCTTTACTTGTCGAGTGCAGTTGTCAAGTAGACTTGTTTAACTGTTTTGGAACATTTGCCTTCTGGATGCTTATCGGAACTGTTTCCTGCTGATGACTGGAACAAGTACCATTGATTTGAAAATGTGTAGATAGATGTATATGTCAAAAATTGGAAGCTGCTTCCTTTCGCTAGGACTTTTTGGTTTGTTTTTTTTCTTTTTTTGTCTGTTTACATATATTTAATATATACAAGTTATTTTTCATCCTTATTATGGGACTGTCTTGTAACATTGAGTGGCAATTAAGTTATTAATGTACTATCAGTTGAAGGCAAAACTGTATAACTGAACAAAATCAAACTGCCTGTAAGCCAGTGTCTTGTCTTAGTATATTCAGTACATATGCAGCAGACATGTTTATGGACTAAAATATTTTCTTCTTAACAGGCAGAATTACAAGCTGTATTTAAGAGACTGCGTAGAGAACGGTGTACAGACTTGCGTAATACTACTCAAGGCAAACTTGTAATTAAATTTGCGTGGTTTTGTAAAAGGTTAAAATGTCTTAGTAGCATGCTTCATAGTGGGTTTACTTATACCTCTGAAAGCTGAGTACTAAAGATTGATAGTTATGCTGATTAGATTAGCCCCATGTTTACAGTGAAGTGTTTTGTTAAGGGATATCTGTCTTTAATACCTGACGGTAAATTTCTTGTGTTCTCATAAACTTCAAGCTTTTGGTGGCTCAGTTCGTCTTGTCTTAGTAATTCAGTTTGTGAAGGATCAACACTTCTTTGTTTAAAAAAGTTCTTGCTCGCTTCTTTAGAATCATAGAATCATAGGATCAACCAGGTTGGAAAAGACAGTAAGATCATCAAGTCCAACTGCTCCCAGCACTGCCAAGGCCACCACTAAACCATGTCTCTGAGGGCCTTGGCTACATGGTATGTGAACACTTCCAGGGACGGTGACTGCACCACTGTCCTGGGCAGGTTGTTCCAAAGCCTGAGCACCCTTTGGGGAAGGAATTGTTCCTCCTCTCCATCTAAACCTCCCTTGGTGCAGCTTGAGGCAATTTCATCTTGTCCCGTCCCTTGTTCCTTGGGAGCAGAGACCAGCCCCCTCCTGGCTCCATCCTCCTGTCGGGCAGCTGTAGAGAGAGAGCAATAATGTCCCCCCTGAGCCTTCTCTTCTCCAGACCAAACACCCCAGTTCCCTTAGCCATTCCTCATCACACTTGTGCTCCAGACCCTTCACCAGCTCTGTTGCCTTTCTCTGGCCCCCCTGTAGCACCTCAATGTCTCTCTTGTAGTGAGGGGCCCAGAACTGAGCACAGGATTTGAGCTGCAACCTCACCAGTGTCCAGTGCAGGGGGATAATCACTGTCCTGGTCCTGCTGCCATGCTATTGCCGATACAGGCCAGGATGCTGTTGGCCTTCATGGCTGCCTGGGCACAAGAATTCCAGCATTTAGCTAGGATGAATGTGCTGGAGCACAAAAAGCATGTACTAAATTTTATTTACTTATTTATTTACTTTGTCTGTCTGTCTGTCTGTCTATCTGTCTGTCTTAGAAACTGTTACATTGGCTCATTTTTACTTCTGGGCCACAAACTTTGGCATCCTGGCAAAATAAAATGCTTAAATGTACACTATCAGGGACTACTTGTACTGCTTGGCTGTAATAGTAGTGCAGTCTGAAACACATGTATGTTGGAGGGAGATGGGTTGAGGAGGAGGAGTAGGTTTCTCATGATTGCACATTGGCTTATGGTTTCTATGGCCTGGATGTGCCACTGGGAAACAACACAAGGTAATGAACTGTTAGTTTCTAGAGAAGATGGTATAACAAAAAAGATGAGAACCTTACCCAAACTTCATAATACTCTGTAATGTCCAAATTATCACAGATGCATTGGAAGATGTTATATATTGCAAGAAACTGGGCGTATCTTCTAAAAGATGATGTAGGAAATTGTTTTAAGAATCTTGTTATAAGTATCTTTACTTTGCTAAGGGAAATAAGACGTGAGTGTGTTCATTTAGGCTGCTCGTGTGTTCCTGTGCTTGATCTCGGTCACTTTATTTTGTGAGACTGCCACATCAGTATGTAGAACACAGAAATAAGATTTCATTAACTTAGCTAAATTATGTGGGGAGAAGAAAGCTTAAAACTAAAAACTTATTTTGGCACATTTTTTTTGTGGTTTGGATTTATAGTGTAGAATTATGCTACTTAATTTCTGCTAAACTGTTACTGTTTGGTGGAAGGCTTTGATTTTATTTCTCCCTCCCCCCCCCGATTCTAGGATAAAACTTCTTTTTTTATAAAGATTTAGCTATTATGTATAGTAGGCATATGGAGAGTTAAGCTGCGTGTAAGTGTCACCTTTTGAGAGCTGCATGGTACATCATGGTACATCACCCACATGATTAGGAGAGACAGATTATTTTTTTAGCTATTCCATTGTGGGCCTGTGATTGGGTTTGCGTGTTGGACCCCAGTCCTGTGGAGCAATGCAAGATGTAAATGTCCCTATATGCTTTAGTCTTACCTGACTGAGGTTCAGTTTTTTTACTTGCTTAATTTCCAGTTATTTTGGAAGATATGTTCAACCTTTCCATGTGACTTGGAAGCTGTAGGTTAGTTTGGCTGGTAGGAGGTAAGTGTATTAGTTTTTAGGCTTTGGCAGAGAGGCTTTATTTTAAATGTTGTTTTTGTTTTTAAATCAGGAGCCAATGAAGTCGAGAGCACCACAGCTACATTTGGAATACAGATTCTACAAGCAGCTAGGATCTGGAGGTAAAAAGCAGTGTCATGCATTTTACTGTGACGTAATCCAGGATCAGTTTTTGACAGTTTTCCGATTTAGGGGTGTAAATCTATTTAATAATATCCTAGAACAGTTGGGTTGGAAGGAACCTTAAAGCTCATCTAGTTCCAACCCTTCTATCAAGGGCAGGGACACCTTCCACTAGACCAGGTTGCTCCAAGCCTCATCCAGCCTGGCCTTGAACACTGCCAGGGAAGGGGCAGCCACAGCTTCTCTGGGCAACCTGTTCCAAGTATTCTGAAGAAAGACCCATGAGTCAGTGGATTAATGTATATATTTTTCTATTATTGTAAGAATTTTTGTTCTACTCTTTAAAGTGTGTCTATGAAATCCTAAGTCTTATTTAATAAGTCTTAAATATCACAGAATTTGTGTGCATATGGGTATACCTCAACCTGAGCAGTCTTACACTGTTCCCACTGTGGTCTCCTTGAATAAGCACTATAAATGATCAAACTGCTAATCTACTAATCACATTTTTATTTGAAGTGCTATGATACTTGAACACTCTCAGTCCGAGTTTTATTTACTTCCAGTATTTACATACAGTATATGTTGCTGATTACTAATTTTAAGCCTCTTAATACTTTTGTAAAACGTATAAATGCAGTGTAAGATTTTAATTTCTCATTTCACTCCCCTTGTGCCTTTACACTCAAAAGTATCATATAATGGTTACCTTAAAGATCCTTTTATCACTTTTTGCTTTTATACGAGCCATAGCTAAAACTTCTCACTTATTTGTGTGCCTTTCACAAAATTGTATGTGGTCAGTTAGCAGGATATGAAGATTCTTAGACTAGGAAAGTAAGTATAAATTTTCCCTGAAACAGTTTTACCCTAGGAAAAAAAATCTTACATACTTTCCTTGAAAGTGTTCTTTTGATTCCTAGAGTAGTTTTTCGTAGTTCATTTAGTTAGTTACTTTTCCCATTTCTTAATAATGTAGAAGTTTATTATATAAAATGGAATACTAATAGTTGATTTTTCTATGCACGCTTGTATTTGGGTTTGTTCTTTTTTTCCTATCAAAAGCAACTTGGATTTTTTAGCAGTGATTTTAAAATTATGTTTAAACTTACAATAAAATACTATTTAAGCTGAAAAGTCATCTCTGAAAGCCAGGAAATACGAAATGAGTATGTCGGTACCACTTTCATTTTGTTGCCGTGAAAGTGAGTGTTAGAATGAATGTTAATACTTTTTAAATACTACCTTTACTTTTTTACTTAAAATTCAGGGTCACATGTTAATTGATGACAGACTGGGTAGTGTTTCCGTAGGTAGGTAGCTTTCAAAATTTTATATCCTTCTTTTTAGGGAAACATGCTTTCCAATACTGTTGATTCATATAGAACTTTTTTTTTGGATAATTTGGTATGAATACTCTGCAACCAGGAATCTTTAGAGATAACTCTTTGCAAGACATGGCATTGTTTATTCCTGTTTATGGATGGCCAATCAAGTTGCAGAAAGACTAGTCAAAATGTTGAGTCTTACATGCTTGCTAATTGGAGAAGGTCATCAGGGTATAGAACATCTGTTTTTTGTAAGTAGTTGTAAATATTTATTGTGAAATAACCAGTAACTGTAAAGCAGAGAGCTTAACTGCTTAAGTAATGAGACATGGCAACCCACAAGTTTGGGACAGTACCCAACTGTGAAAACCAAGTGTAACTATCTAAAATAGCAAGGACATAGTAGGGGAAAGTGATAAATTCAGGAAGCAGCTAATACTTCCTATATAGAACAGGAGATACTAAATGCAGATCTGCCCATGTAGATAGTGTTGCTTTATGGGCAGTGGTTGTAGTTTTGTAAGAGAGTAAACTGAAGAAAGTGTGTCTTCATTGTGCAGGTGGCAGAAGAGTCCATTGTAGAAGGTGTAAAACAGCTGTTGTTGCTGGAAGAAATTTGAAGTATGTAATTGTGAGCAGATAGGTTTCTCTGATAAATAATTATTTACTGTACTAGCGGTTCCAGTTATCTGGAACCTTATAGCTTCTAGGCTTATAAAAAATCCACATTTGTAGACTTTCTTAGTCATGATGAAGTAGTCTTTTCCTTGTCTGTTTTTGTTTATTCACACAAGATTTACTGTAATTTGACTGATAGCTTTATACTTCAGTGTGGACTTAATTATATTAAATAGCCTTTCCACTTGTTCTTCTCATGTGTATATGCATATGTATGTATAAATAGCAACTATTATATGTGTGTATAAATAACTATTAAAAAATGGTTTCAGAGCAACTTGTAAAAAGGAAATAATAGTACTCCCTTTTATTTCATGATTTTCTAAGCAGACTTTATTTCCTATAAGCAAAACTTCATTTTTCACAAATAAGAACTAGTAGTTCCACAGTTTATGCTACAGACAGATTCATGCTTAGTGTGAAATAACCTGAAGCTTAAGGGATAAAATAGCTGTAGCCCCTGTGAAATACCAGTTTATTTGGGGGTGGCATGGGGAGCAGGCAGAGGCATTAACATGTGAATGAATAGTTCTAGAAGAAAATAAGGTTATTTTTCCAAAAGATCTTCCTGACAGCAAGTAAAGAGAAGTTATTGAGCAGCAGATTATCTTACCTTCTAAACATTTTTAACAGAGCATCTCAGTTCTTATGCTGATCTTGTGAGTGCCCTTGATGGAACAAGTAGCATTTTGAAATTGTATGTTTTCTTGGTATTCCCATATCTCTAGCCAGTAATTGTCTACTATAAGTTTACTTACTTATTCTTACAAAGTCTGGTTTTCTTTATTTTCTAATGATATTATGACTTAGATTGTTCTTTTTTTTTTTTTTTTCTTTTAACTAATTTCTGTCAAAGAGTCGTGCTGTTCTGCATCTTGAATGACAAGAAAATGGAAGACATACTTGAGTGCAAAAAAAAGTTAGGGGATCTTTTAATAGTTCTGCTCCCTGAGAGAAAAAGGCAAAAATACATGAAATATGATAGATGTGCAGTTTCTGTACACAGGATTTTTGAACTGAGAGTCTTAATTCTTTGTATTTAATAAAAAGTACTTTTTGACTTCTATGAAAAAGCATTAACATTTCAAAACTATTCCTTTGGAGAGAATCTGCTCATAAAGCAGGTTTATGATCTGTAATTTTATTTTCCATTATGCTTTTTAACTGAACATGCTGTGAATATGCAGTAACATGTGGGTGTTAGTAAAAAAAAAAAAAAAGAAACCAGGGAAGAATCTTAAACAGGAATCATTTTATGTACTTCTGAAGGTTTTTTGAAACATTTTAAATTATTCAGGGAAATGGATCTAAAACCTATTAATAAGAGTTCTTAAATTAGTTTAAAGATGTGACTTAGTTTAGTCATGTCATTATTTAGCTTTTGTTTAATATATCAATAGAGATTTTTAAGCGCATTTCTCTCTTTTCTGCCGTAATTTTGTTATTCAGTAAGTGAGCATGCTCTCCTCATGAAGTTTGAGATCATTTAGTCAGTATGCAGAGGTTTCTACTTGGCTGAATGAGCAACCTACAGATAGATTTTAAAATGTCTGTAATTCTAATAAAATTTTAGTTGAAAGTGTATTTTCATAATATCCAAGTATGAATTACAAGAAAAACATTATCACATTATCATAAGTGCAGTACTTCACATTAAACTGTATCTAAATTCTTATCAGAAATTGCACTAAGACTTCTGAAATTAATAGAAGCCAGTTTTATATTTTTATTGATTTTTTATTATTTTTTTTAATTCATCTTTTATGCTATCAGCCTTTCTCCTCATAGTAAGAAGATGAGGTGTGCATGTATTTAATGTGAAGTACCCATAATTTAACTGCACCTATGTTCTGTGTGCTTTCCTACTAGGTACTAAGGAGGGACTGGGCAGATGGCTGACTCAGTTTGGCTATTGAACAGTAAAGCTCAGTGATTTTTTTTATTGTGAGGATTTTCTTCAAATTTAAAAACCTTACTAGTGAAAACTTCTGAAATACTTTATTTCTTTGACAGGCAAGTATTTACAGTATGGTTCAGTTGCCTTTTGCAGTAAGGTGTTTGTGTAGACATTAAAGAAGTTATGTATTGTTTGGGTTGAAGACTAAGAACTATTTAACTTTTATAGTCTGATTTTTCTAACATCTCTCAATAACTCTGTAGATCGTTAATCATAATGGCTGGAAGTCTTTACAAGTGAATGAGGACTCTTGTACTTGCCCATCTGAGAAGAGGAACAAAAGAATGGCAGGCAGCTCTTGCTGCTTAACCTGCCTTAGTACAGCTTTTGTCTAAAATGCTGCTGTTTTACTAAGAACAGACTGTTACTATAGTGCTTGTCTGTAGCAACAAGGGGTATGTGTTTTGGTTTTTCATTTGAGGTCATTTTTTTAAAGACACAAAGATCTGTTCAGAGGTGGATTATCCAACTTCTGAAACTGCTGCTGCATTAACCTTTCGAAGATGTTGAGATTTGTTAATGTTATCTAATTTTACTTGTATGCTTCAGTTCTTTTAGCTGAAGTCTAGTTAATGCTTCCAGTCTTAAAACTGGCAGTGAAACACTTTTCTTACAGAGTAACTATTAGCCAGTGCATGTATAAGTGCATGTATTTGTGCACTATGAAGAAAGGTGTTGATTTTAAAAGGTTATGGCCAGTGTGAAATGAATACTAAGTATTACGTTCTATACATGAGGATCTCCTTCATGGTTTAGAACTATCAGTCGCATGATAAATGTACTCTGCATTGCTATCTAAAATAAGTTGTTCCGTTCTGTGGTCATGAGGGCCTGCCTTAGACACAACAGAATTATACTAGTTGGACAGTGGTAATGAAGTAGTTACTGTTGGGTTAGAACATACAAAAATTGTTACCAGATACTTGGGTATGTATCAGTTCTTGATGTAAGAACAAGTCTGTATGTAATCTTGAGAAGCTGCAGCCATGGAAATACTAAACATTTGTGCATGGTGGTCAACTGCTATTGTAGAAGA